TAATAATGTCAAAGGATACATGAATGAATTGTATAGAGTCTAAATTTTGATGATTTTTTCCCTCATTTGTTATTTCTTTTCTAGTCTCCACCCATGGTCGACAGGCAAAGATTAGATTAGATTAGATGTAAATGTAGAATTGAACGAGAGAAAATTTGTAGCATTCAGGAATGAAGAGAACAAATTTATTGAGAGATTCAATAGATCAGGGGTGGTGGTTGATTTTGAGGAGGCTATGAATACAATTTCTATTCTCTTGAAAGAGAAGGCATCACAAGGTTCGTTTAACCATGTTAAGCCATTCCTCTCATGTTGCAGGCTGCTGAAGGGAACTAAATATAGATTTCCTTCTGATTTCTCAATCATCATCCAACTGAGAAGTGGTTGTATATTAGTGTTGGTGACTATAGGTGCCCAAGAAACTGCATTTTATATAGTCTGGAGTGGAAATCAATCTCTTCAATAACTCCACTCCCTTTCATTTAGGGCCGGCAAAATGGGCTGAGCCCGCCGGGCTGGCCCGCCCCGCCTGCCAAATGGGGCGGGCTGGGTTGAGTCTTTCAACCCACCAGCCCGCCCAACCCGCCCCGCCAAACCCGCCAGCCCATATGGGTCAGCCCGCCAAGTCATTTTTTTTATTTTTTTTTTTAGGTTACCCAATTGTTATGTAGCTCCGTATCTTAGATTTCTCTGCTTGCAAGTGGCTTTTTTGAATTGTTGTGGACTGCTCATACAACACTTTGTTACTTGTTTTGTTATTCTATTTTATCCTGATATGATTTTATTTTTTTATTATTATTTTTGGATTGAAAGATGCATATTTATATGCAGATTATTAAACACTGATCTTCTTGGTTTCATAAGCACATTAGGATTTTATACAGATTTTTGTATGCTTTTATGCAGATTTTTTTATGTGATTTTATGCAGAATTTAATTTTTTGTATTTTATTTTTATATTTTTTTATTTTAGGCGGGCTGGCCCGTAGCCCGCCAGCCCACTCATAAAACGGGCCGGGTTACTCGATTCAACCCATTTTGTCAAAACGGGCCGGGGCGGGCCAGCCCATTTTGGGCGGGCTAGTGGCGGGCCGGGGCGGGCTGGCCCATATTGCCAGCCCTACTTTCATTGATCACAGTGACAACTGTTATGGTAAGGGAATACATGAGTTCAAGGAAGAGCTGAAGAGCATTGGTGTTGTTACTGAATTGAAAGATGGATTGAATTTGTGCCTAAATGCCTGAAACTTCCTTCACATCTTTCTACCATTACTCCTGAAAGTGTGTTTTCTTTATTGGAATGCATCCAACTTCGTCTGAAAATAATGAGCATTGTATTTGAAGACTTTATTCTTGAATAAATGGGCAACATACCCATTTGTTGTCTAGTTGTAGATTAAATTATGATTGCGTATGATTAGATGGATGGTGCCACGAACTAGTAGGTTGATAATTTCTCTGCCTGAATTATTTTTTCCAGGGATGTCCCCTTGACTCTATGAATCTGTTGCTAGTATTACAGTCATGGTTGCCTTTTCCTACATGTCAATTAGTTGATATTGCTTGTCATAATAACTGAATAAAAAAATTTGTGTTTTATGTAAAGACAATCACCAACATCATGATTGTGTGGCAAATGATTTTGTATCTTTTCTTTGTTGCCTTTTCCTACACAGTTATATTCAAAGTTATTACCTGTGCATTAAGAAGTTTGCTTGTCAGCGTCACCTCACTATCATGATTGTTAGCATCTTTCCTTTGTTGCCTTTTCCGACACACTTATATTCAAAGTTATTAAGAAGTTTGATAGCGTGGCAAATCATTTTGTATCTTTAGTTGTAGAATTTGTAACTCTTTCTCATAATTGATTGTTGCTCTGATTGTTTCAGTAACCCACCCAGCATTACAAAAGTAGGAGACAAACAGGTAATTGTTCCCAGTTGTTGGAAGGAAGTATGGGTGGCTGTGGGTCTGGAGCAGGGGGCAGTGATAGCATGATCTCCAGGCATTCCTCGTCGCTATCCCCATCGATAGTCAAGATGTGCTACTGTGGACTACCAGCTGCTTTGCGTACGTCCACCATGCAAAGGAATCCAGGAAGACAATTTTTTGGCTGTCGTAACTTCCGATCCACAGAGGACTGCCATTTTTTCGAATGGTTTGCGGAACCGTCTTGCCTTACATGTACGATTAACGAGAAGAACCAGAAGCTTGTTAATTTATTAGTCGTTTCCCAATTGATAACTGTTATAACATTTGGGATTATCCTCACGACATTTGTAATATATCATTAAGTTGTTTAGGAAAGTGGTTGTCCACGGTTCACACACTTGTAGTAGTAATTCATAGGTTATTGTACCTGTGAAGTTATGTACTGATGGTTATTAGTCGTTTCATGTATCATTTTGAATCAGTATAGCTGTGTTGTACCTTGTAAACAGCTATCTGTACTCTTTGTTAGTAGCAAACCTTTTGATGTTCAATGTAAATGGTAATGAAAGTTTGCTTGAAGGAATGTTTTGACTTGAAATTGCATAGTATTGCTGTATAGTCCATGGTACTCACCAAATTGCATATTGTTCAGTGTATAGTAGTCCCCTGAATCTTCGGCAGCATAAATAATAATGACTAATATATGAATTTTTTGTCCTTAGTTTCTCTCCTAAAACAAATATTGTTGGAAACTCTGAATTTGTTGTTGAATATCATAATCCGAAGCAAAATAAAGACCTTTAACACTGTTAAGAATAATTTGGAGCAGGACAAAAATTGATTTATCAATTTCATTGACCTATCCAACCAACTCCCTTAATCGTCGTATGCAGGTCAATGAAATTGGGAAATGTCATGATAGGGAAAAAGATCCATTACACTACAAAGTTACAAAGCCAAAATGCATTAAACTTCAATAGTTACCTTGTTTCTTTTTATTATAATTTTTATGCAATGACCATGTTATAAATCTGTCTACAGGTCATGCTAATATGTTAATACAATAGTCACTAACATCAGCATTCTGTATGGTTATCAAAATTAGTATCAAGTTATATGTAATTGATGAGTTCTACGATTAAGTGTTTCAATGCTAATAAGGGCATGCTAGTTATGTGCTTTCAGCCCATTTCTGGCTCTTTTTTAGTAAATGGTAAATTCAGCAGGACATGGGAAACTGATATTTTTAATACCGTAGTGCAAGTTTGAAGTCAGACACACTTGGGTTAATTACATGAACAGAACTACTTCGAGTTACGTCAACCATGATCAGCAGTTTGACCCTTTAAACTTAACCTACATATTAAAATGTTACCTAACACAAAATACAAAAAATAACCAAAGACTTTGAACTTCAAGCTGCCCATTTTCAGTGTTCCAATAGCTAGTTGAAAGCAGAACCAGAGGGAATCTGACTAGGCCATATATGAGGCATGCACCCATGTCTTTGATAACACATATTTTGTTACACTTATTTGTTACTCTTGATTAGTATTTTTAGGATTTATTTGAATAAAATAATGATTGTTAGAGTTAATTTAGGTTTTTAGTTTTTGATTGGGTTTAATTTATTTTCGTCAGAATTTTTCAGCTTTATGTTACTTCTGTATTTTGGCCATATCTCGGTCCATAGTTGTCGGATTGACTCCGTTCTTATTGGGTTTTTCAGATAACACAGAGAGCTACAATTCTTATGAAGAGCTCGAAGCCCAATTCGGACTAGAAGCTGGTAGATTTCGGACGCCAAGTTGGACGCGTTTTGCTGAAGTTTTGTTTGACTATTGGGCTTGTAATTTAAATTAAAACCCAATTACTTAAGTGACCCAAAGCCAAGTTTTATTGTTTAATTTTATTTTATTCGGTTTTTATTTTATGTTTGGGCTGAAGCGATGAAACCCTAGCCGTCCTGCGTGACAGCTATTTAAAGGGGACTCTCGGAAACTCTTGGTAGTCAGTTTTTACAACAGAGAAGTTCTCTCTGAGTTTTTATTCAATTGCATTCTTCTTCTTCTTCTTATTTTTTGAATTATGTTTACCTTAGCCATGCGAGGCTAAGAACCTTTTAATCAACCTAAGGGTAATGGATTCCATGGATTAGTCTTGAGGATCTGCGTTTATTTCAAATCAGTTTTGTTTCCCTTCCCAACTCAGATTGATATCGTGCGATCGTGGATATTCAATCTGAGGTTCGCGATTGCGATTATGGAAAGGGATTAATCATCAGATTTGATGATTAGGTTGATTGACCCTATGACCTTAAATCAAGCGGGCTGATACTCTGCGATTGTATGAGTAGAAGCATCGTCTTTGTTCAAATGCTAAGCGATCGCTTAGAGAGGGTTGTCAATTGGAAATAAGGATTCTGATTCGATTGACAAATCAATCACGATTCTGATATCCTCTTATCCGAGGAAAGACATCCATGGAACCCAAATCTTAGGTTAGTTATTTTTAATTACGAATTTTACATACAATTTTACATTTTGCCTTTTTAAATTATCAAACTGAAATCAAAACAAACCCCCCTTTTTATTTTCTGTCATCATAAGCGATTTTTACCCAAACAATTTCCTTGAGAGACGACTTAGGGTTTGCACTTTACTACAAAAATTTTCTGAACCCTAAAGAATTAATTTTTAATTTGCGCGAGTTCAACAGCTCGTGTCAGTCTTCCCTGTCATCTCTTTCCACGATGGTTGAGCTCATACCATGCAGCACACTCCCATGTAGCACACTCCAACAACTGAACCTGCATGTACAGATATAAATCATGACCATCTATGATTGACTATGCCATACATAAAAACCTGGAATAATTGAATCAACCTATGTGCATATTGTCAAAGAATCACATACCTCATTTTCAGCAACAAAAACCCGTTTCCATTTTCAACTCGCCAAATACCATTATTGAATTTCACCTCCAAAATTAGACATACCAAAAACTATATAAGGGAATCGGACATGAACATAGTCCGTATTAAAAACTAGCACAGCAGACAATGAGGTATGTGATTTACAAAATAAATCATGAGGGCATTAAGGTGCTGGTATTTACATAATCCTCCCATGTACCTACAGTCACACCAAAAAATAGTTACAGTATCATAGCCACACCAAAACCATATCATATTGTAGCCCAGCCACAGCTACATATTATATATTGTAACCCAGCCACACCACACAAGAGTGGAAGTAGCACAGTCACACCAAAAAAACACTCTGCATCACATGTAATACCAAAAAATGATGCATCACAGTCACACCAACAAAGCTAGGGATCAAAGTTGGCTAACAACCCAGCCAATATGTGCTTTCTTTTTTCGTCACTGCATTGCATAAAGATATCCGTCAAATTACTATCCCTACCCAACTGCACACCTATGTGAACCATTTGAGGGTCAGTCAAGTAATCATATTTCTCTATCTCGTCCATAATTGACATTCGCCTATTATTTCCATCAGCTTGGTGTTGAAAACAAGACACCAATTTGTCAATGCTGTCACTTGATTTGCGGTATGTCTGAGTTAAATCTTTCATGACATCAACCATCTCAAGTCCGAAAGGATCTTCACTCCTTTGCCTTTTCTTACCCTTTCTGGCAGTAACATTTGAAACTGGGCTACTTGGGGCCACAACATCTTCTGCAGGGATGTCAGGCATAGCAGGATCTGCTACAAGAGTGGGGATATAGTCACCAGAGAGTTCTATATAATCATCAAAAGGTGTCCCACTTGCATCATACAAGGCAGGATCTCGTTCCATTTCGCGGATTACATCGTCTGCACCCACTGAATGAGATCCCGTGGCAACATCCTTCCCAAATATATTTCCCAAAACATTGTAGTGCGGGAATGGCTTGTTGTAAAGACCCTTAGCAGTGGGATGGGACTACACAAAATACGCACAAATACAAAGGTTAAATATTAGTGTCAATGACTTGTTCATTAAGATAGGTAATGAAATGAAAGCATAACTTATAATGGAGATTACTTTACCTTGACCGAGTCATCAAATATTTCCCTCTCGACATCTATCATTTTCTTGGCATCGTTCCATCCGAAGCCGCTCCCACCATTAGTACCTACCATTGCAGCGATGGCAGTATATTGTTTCTTCAACAGTTTCACCCTAGAGGTGATGTGTGGGCTAGCTCGCAAGGAGCATCCTGGTATCTTGCGATGCATCATATTTTCTACGACATTGGAATAACCTGCCTTAAAGCCGTTGTCTCATTTCCAACCGAAACCCAATTCACTTAGACACTCTACGAGCATTTTATCCTCTTCTGCAGTCCATTGATGATTAATGCGTTTAGTTGACTGCGTAGACTGCTGGCTGTCTTCAGCCATGGAGCCAATTGTTGTATTTCTATATCTGTGAAACAAGAGAACACATACGAAACATATTTGAGAATATAGTGGGAATAACTACAGCAAACAACTCTATAATGTGGAGGACAAATGAATTTAGGGTCACAGAAATATAGAAAACAACAATTTCCCATGCTGTGAATACGAAAATATAAACTAAGCAGTCTATTACATAAGATTACAACATAAACACATAGTTGCTGTTTCAGTTTTAAAGCAGCCCACAAGATTACACTTAGTATAAATACAACTAATATTTGCAAGTTTCATAACTAAAAGCTAAAATCAAACGCGATTCCTCCATGTATTGAACATGTGATTCACCATTTGATCCCTCGAGACAGTCCATGCATTAGAAGACTCTACGTGAGTGATGAAGTCAGTTCCTCCAACATCAACATCGGTTGCTGCATTTGATCCACTTCTTCATCATCTAAAGGATCCACAGCCATTTCTCTTCGTATATGATTATGAAGCAAGCAACATGCGATAATTATTCGGCATTGAGTTTTAACCGGATAGAAAGACTTTGATCGCACAATAGCCCAACGACCCTTCAGCATTCCAAAGCATCTTTCAATGACATTTCTTGCAGATGAGTGCTTCATATTAAAGAATTCCTGTGGGGTTCTTGGATGTGCCCCATGTCTCCATTCACTAAGATGATATCTCTGACCCCTATACGGAGTGAGGAAACCTTCACCATTCATGTAACCAGCATCGCACAAGTAATAGTATCCTGAAACATGCAAACAAATCCAATAGTAACTCATGATAGGGAAGGTTTAATTAATAGTTAGCTAAGCAATACACCCCTTGAAACTGATAAATTGTGTAAGCATATTACCTTTAGGGACCCTTAAACCGTTCGGACGAGAGATGGCATCTCGGAGTACCCTTGAGTCTGCGGCTGAACCCTCCCATCCAGGCAAAACATAAATAAACTGACCATCTTGGGAACAAACCCCCAACACATTGGTTGCTATCTCACCCTTCCTAGTCTGGTATCTAGGCTTGTCGGCTTGCAATGGATAGACCTTGATGTGTGTCCCATCTAGTGCTCCCAAACAATTCTAATAATTAACCAACTACAAATATTATTAACCATCACACCAAATACGTGGACATCATCTTATGCAGGTTTAAATGTAACAGAACGTAAATAAATTTCTGACCTTGAACCACTTCCACTTCTCATCAGTCGAGTTCTCCGGAACTGGTTCTGGTCGTTTAAATAAAAGTGTATGACACCGTATGACAGATAGCAAAACTTTGGAGAACTGTCTACTTATGGTTTCACCAGATCGCATGAACTGTCTTTTAATTATCCTATTCTTCACATCGTGGGCTAAAATGTGTAGAAAAATTGAGACCATCTCTTCAACACCCATATGTCTAGTCGGCTGTAGTCCCCCAACAGTTTTCACCAACCACACCAGTTTATGGAAAGACTTTCTGTCCATCCTTGTATTTTCAATACAAGCCCTGTCACTTGCATGGACTATTCTATGGAAGTTGACTTCCCTAACCCTAGCCCTAGTAAACAAGTTCCATGATACTCTCCTCCTTCTATTTCTCCTGGTATTGTTATGGTGTTTGTACATAGCACAAATATAACAACAAAATCAATTGTTGCATACACTCCAGATGAGCAATCAGAACAACAACGACACTAACTTCCATTCCATTGTTCATTGCCACAATCTAACACACAAAATACAAAAATTATTCACATCTCATTTTTTTCATAACAAATAATAGTATCCTGAAATATGGACAAAAGAGGGGGGCTGTATTTGAGATCAAGCAGGACGTACAAGTGTGGAGCATAACACAACACTACAAGGAAGCATATAATATGCATTAAAAAAATTAAAGCAATAGAAAATTTAGCTCTGTTTTGAATAACCATGGGAGCAAACAATAAAGTAACAGGTAGTGCTTCGTCTGAGGGTATTTTTTTCAGAATGACAAATCATTATTTAAAAGGAACATATTTTTAACTAATATTCAGGTTTAAATCTACTGGCTATTACCTGTGCATTCACCTATGTCAAACCATTACTTACAAGTTGTTTAAGGTTACTTCCAGTTGAGGTTAGCTTATAACTTTGCCTCACTAGTTATTATATTAATATGCTATTACCTTTATGAAAAACAGATCATGTTGTACACAAACAGCTCACTAACTGTAATAGTCGATTAAAGATAAGAAGTTAGAAAAGGTAAAAAGGAAACTGAATGGCAGTAAATGAGTCCTAAGAAGAAAAAACTACTCTTCTGTTTTTTATTTATCTATTTGTTCGTTTGAATTCAATTGTAAACTTTTAGTTCATAAGGAGTAAAAATAGATTTTGAGAAGGAACTTTTAGTAAAACAAGTTTGCTTTACTATAATGACAATGCATAACACTCTCCACATCCTTATCTTTTTTCCCCATTTTGTGGAACCCTTTTATTGATTGAACATTGCTTTGTTAAAAAGCAATCCCATAACCACATAAAAACAGAGAAAAAGAATATATGAGCAATTCTTGGCAAGTAATACAGCTAAAGGATTTTTGGCATCTCACATATATATCCCATCCCTACATACATGAAGCAAAAATTTCGTATCGTTCCTAGAATGTAAAATGACAGATATTAATTATGGGAAACAATGATAAACACAACTACCTAAGTAGTGCCTTGTATTGGAGACAAGTCCACAAACAAGTGGCAGTTTCTACACCCTCTCTCTCAGGTATCAATGCACAAAAATCGTCATATTCAACAAAAGGGAGGCTAACACTACGGCAATATGATTGATTACTGCCAACACTTCCCAACACATGAAAATTACAAAAACGAAAGTTAATATTATGGAGGCCTACAAAAATAAGAAGCACAGCATAAATAAGACAAGTGAGTAATTGATGATAGGATGGGGTAGTAAGGAGGGGTTGCTGATGGTGGTTTTGAACCTAATCCAAACCCATCATTGCGAAAATATTGGGACGGCCTAGCTCATCGTCATTTTAGAAACCGTAACTGAAAGCCCCCATTATTGTTCCTCTCATGTCCATTATGCTGAATTTTTATTCCCACTGTGCGCTTTCACCACATACAAATATACAACCAACCCTTATACAGATGTCCATTAAAAGAATAGTTTTGTATCACACTATCCCCGTGCTTCGAACAAATACTTCGCACGATAAATCCTTCTACTCAGGTTTAAACGACCTCATTCGTTTTTAGTTAAATCAGTATAAGACCTTTAACAAAAAAAAAATCAGTATAAGACCAAATCAATCAGAGACACAAATCGGATGAACACACCTTTACTTTGATTTTGGCTTTCAAAATTATCGGTTGTAGACGGAACACACCTTTACTTCGATTGGGGCTTTCAAAATGAGTGACGAAATTCTAAACCATCAACTGGCATCTCAAGTTTTGTCAGAATGATACATGGTTTTGGGGTAGATTGGAGAAAAAACTTTACACGTCTGCATTGTATTTGAGGGGTAAACTTGTCATTTTTTCCCACCATTTTTCAGTATCTCGCTTTCTTCACAAAACCACCTTCACAGAAGGGTTGCAAAACACTGTTCAATTCCGGCTTTCATTTGTTACGCAGGATTGCTAGACATCAGGCATTGATGGGGAAGAGAAACCAAATCCATTTAACAAACGTGGAGAAGGAAGAAACCGGTTTTCACTTTGCTAGGAAAATGTTGAAAAGCGTCGAACCAAACACTGCCTCAATGTCTTGTCCTCAGATATTTTCATAAGTACCCAATAAATTTTTGCAGCAAGCTAATTAGAGTAATTTAAGGTATTACTTATTTGAGAATTGGTACATCGTTATCTAAATACATTCAATTTATAATTATAACGTACATAAATGAGGTGCCCAGAGAGAACTTAATCACTTATAAAACAGAGGCTGCCACAAGGTATTGATCATATGGCAATATCATGCAGATTGAATAATATTCAATTCTAGGTTATGCAAATGGAATCTCAGAAAAGCAAGACATTAACTTTAACAATACCTGATGGTTCAGTTTCACTTAACAGAATTCTAATGTTACCGGTAATATGTTTTAAGTCAACCCAGGTAATGGGACACCATTTCAACTATAGAACCACGAGCTCCTACTAACCAAATGCTAATTATATGATGTGCATGAAATTGTTCCGAAGGAATCAAGAAACTTTGGTATTATTTAGTTGCAAGCAAGTAAATTTTGCCGTTCGATGTTAGATTGTGATATAGCAAGTGTCAGGTCAATCCAATTTAAACTTTAAGCTACTGTCCACTAAATATCAGAACCAGTACAGGATAGTAAGTGATGTCCATACCTTTCCAACCTCAGGAGACATAACTTAGCAATAGCACAGAGTAAAAATCAATTGGCAACATATAATGTAACCGCACCAAATAGTTGTGTACGTGATCTCTTTAAACCAATCACCATAACTTTGATTACTTACACATAGATTTATAAGTTATTTATTATTATTATATTTTTTTGAAACAGCCGCTGAACACATGTCATCCAATTTGAAAAGTCACACAACAGCAGGCATCAAATTTCTAAGAAAGAAGAAACAATCCCTTTTTAACGGGAGTAATAAAATCTCTAAATTTTCTCTTTTGTAACATGGATTAAGAACCTAAGACCACTAACCTATCTCAAACTTCAAGCTCAAAAGAGAGTATACCAGTGCCAGGGTACACACACAGCACAGAGATCTTTAATGAATTTGAGAGGTTCAGAATCCAGACCAAGGAGTTTGGACCTCATTAGATTAGTAATTTGTATCATTTTAAGTTAAAAATAGTGCAGTACCCATTTGAATAAAAATCTACTTAGGGTTAAACCAGAAGAAGCACTGTTAAGTAATACGCATTAATTCAGATCAACTACAATTGCATTAGGATTGACACGATTTGAGACAGAAACTGATCAAAAACAACTCACGTTACAACAGTTATACCAAGGCAAACCTAGTGCAAGTTCTTAATGAAATTTCGTTTACATTTATTTAATGACATATAATCAGTATTTACATTTAAAGTCCATTCCTAGTGTATAATTCTAATTAGGAACTTGAGTATTCTTTGCAAGAAAACATATTACCTTGTATTATAGGACAGCTTGTTCCAATAGGCGTTAGTATTATATTACTGATTAGCAAATCGTTGTATGTTTAACACCGAGCTGTCCACACAGACAAACGGGTTTGGATACATCATATAAAGTTCATTATGTCAATACATCAATTATCAGTATTATATTACTGTTACTCTTACTCAGTTATGGAACCTAACGGAATTAGTTAAACGAACAACTGTTTCTATTCTCCAGCAATATAACACAATCACAACATACAAGAAAGGTCCTAAATCAAAAAAACAAATATGTAACCGCACATTATTTAAAGATAACTTATTATCATCCACAGCTCAGAATATCACAAGAATATATATTCACATCAAGTATATATATATAAAACCTTCCTTATAATTCATATAAGACAGAATTTATAGTTAACCATTAATTCAAGTAGCAATTCACTATTTCACACATAGTGCTCAGACACAAGTGTACCCGTGGTCACCATGATTGTGCACACACATCATGCGTGGCAGTGAGTTGATCAGGCTCACCACTTAGCGTTGAAGTGTGCATAACCATGTTTAACACTGGACACCACAAGTACCATTAACACAAAGAATAATGCAAAAACAGCTAGCAAACAATTCAATAATTATATTCAACCATCAGCAGTTGAACAGAGTAATTCTATCATACAGCAAAGCAACCAATTCACCGTTATATCCAATCAGCAATAATTCAGCGGAAATTTACCATCAGTCAATAAATTCAAACAGCAACAATCCAACAACCAAGTACAAACAGCAAACATTTCATCAATTCAAACACCTTGAATCAAAACTGCTCTGATACCAATTAGCGTAACACCCTCTCTTGTAGTCCTCCAAGAAAGTTGTTTGCTAAGCGGAATTAGAGTTCTTTAATAGTATTTTAGAGACTGAAAAAAATTCATTTTGATGTTGCAACTTAAAACTTATAATTGAAATTAGGTTCGTTACAAAAAAATCAGAGTTACTTTCAAAATTTCTTAAACTTACTAAAAATATAAATTTCCTGATAAACCTTGTTGTCTTTAAAAATTCGTATAAAATCCAGTTCAACGATTCAAAAAAATATTCTTTGTAATATGGAAACTAAACATCTGGGGCTTCACGTTCATATAAAATAATAGTGATTTGGAGTTCGTTTGCCTCTTGAAACATAACTCGCAAAATAAGAGATAAAAATAGTGAAAAAATCACAAACGTCCTGGCTGGTAAAATTCATAATAACTTAAAATTGAGCTTTCAGAATTTCTTTGCAAGGTTTATATATAATGAAACTAGACACCTGGGGCTACGCGTGCATATAACTTATAAGAAAATCGGAGGTCCGTAGCCCCAGTACGACAACTTACAAAGTGCTCGCAAAGACTTTTCAAAACTCAGCATTTAAATAACATGTCAAAATACTTTTCGCAAACGTTTCAACATCTGTTTCCAAAATATTTGCTGGTAATAAAATCGTAATGCAATAATAAAATCATAGTTCGCAGTAATAAACGCTTCTCAATTTCATACAGTCATCCATAAAATATCACATCAATAGCAGCATGCCCAAAACAGTAGAAGCCAACAGCAAATATCCAAGTCCTCAAAAGCTTTTACGTCCTCCTGCCATTTTGTAAAAATAGCAGCCCCAAAGGGGTGAGAAAAATCCCAGTAGTGTGGCAACAAAACTAATAACGCAACAGTATTAAACTAGTCACAAAATATAAACAGTCGCTTCAAACATGAAATCATTTTCATAATATAACCTTTTCATCACATATCATTTTCATCATATATCATATTGCATATATAATGCCTTCTTCATCACGCTCATAGCACCGTCGTGCGCGTGCATACACAGTGGGAATTCCATGCAACGACACCCTCATTTATTGAATCCCACTGTGACCTATGCAGACGGATGCCAAGTGTCCCATACCCTGGTACCGAGGGATGCCTATATGATGCGTGCTCAATCACATGATCCTGTAGATAACTATTCTAAGACTCAAGACTAACATGAATTTGGTACATGCATGCCATGCTATGCTGTCACACACAAACAGAAGGACAAGTGCAGTATGATGTACGGTGCATGCATATATCATCATTTCATAACATATACTTCATGTACATTGGATGCCATACTGCCAAGCCATTCTTTCTTTTCATAACAGAATTTCCATAGGCAGAATAATTTCATCATTTATGGCAGAATAATCATAAGGCACATGTGAGCAACAATTCACAATTTATACACTGGTCAATAGTCACATCAGGTAATACCGCCTAACACATACCTTATGTCCAAACAATAATCAATCGGCACCAAAATTCAGCCCACACAATAAGGGTTACGAGCACCTACGCAAGCAAAGCCCAAAAACAGAATTTCAAACTCTGATTCCTATAATTTACCATTAATGTCAATGCTCCTTAACTTTTGTATTTACCCGCATTTCCAATTACATATGCTATTTAATTTTCTGATTTTACATCACCTTCTAACTTGCTACATTAAAGAAAATCCAAGGTTCTTCCATGAATCTCATTCGATTTTTTAACACCCAAAATAGCCCCATAATATTTATTTGCAATTCTCCCCATAACTCTCTAAGGTGCGTCCATTAGGAGTCTAAAGCATATAGTTAATTTAATTACTAACAGCCACCAATCGCTCAAGGCAGTCCTTCTTCCTCGAGCTTCCAAGGGGTCCGTTTCAGCTCCTTAAATGAGAGGTCTAGGCCAAACACCAGGGAGCAGCAAACTCCTCTGGTTGTAACTCAGCCGAGTGATGCAGGAAGGGAGAAGGAAAGCTTGGAGGTTGGGTTATTACCTTAGGAAAGCTCACGGCTTGAATAAAAGGGAAGTCAGTGTATATGATGGGAATTTTGTTTCTCGTTGCTCTTCTCCTAAGGTTGACGTATAGGAAAATGATGGTAACAAGCACACAGCTTGAGGTTCCACAATCACACGCATAGAGAGAAAGAGGCAAACTGAGATGAGGCTGAGTTTAGTTCAAGTATGAGCTCTCAGCTTTGCGCTCCACCACTAACCACACGGTGGGGGAAAAGAGTGAGATGAAGATAGAATGATATTCTGATTCTCTGAATTTACGGTTTCTGAATTGATGTTGTTAATGAGAGGTGCTGAGAGGGAAGAGAAAATCAACGGTTAATTAGTGTTCTGAATTACTTAGTGTTCTGAATTATTTGCCAACACATCAGCCTATGTCTCTCTTATGAACGCTCTAGAGTGGAGTGGTGAGGATAAGTGAGTGGTTTCCCACCAATGGGAATACATGCAGTTGGAGTGGGCCAATAAGGAGTCATGCATCCAGATCTTCTTACGATAAATTAAGGGGTATGATGTAAGCTTTTGGGCTATCTCAAACCTTTCCTCAAGGTCTTTGCGCCGAACCCTAAGGACAATTGGGCCCAACTTTCTTTCTTCATGATCCATGGTTCATGTATTTGCTAATTCCCTACTCCTTCTAAGTATTAATTAAATTTTATATATATGATTAAGCTAATCCTATCCTCATAACTAGTGTTTCAATTTCCTAAAGCACACACTCACCCAAAATTATAATTAACATTATTTTCCTAAATTAAATTAAGTCCATCCCAAATGATTATATATATATATATATATATATATATATATATATATATATATCGAGTTCAATGCAAGCTTCTATGTTCCTAACTACAGTTTATATAATTTCCTAAATTAGCGGGATGTTACACTTTCCTTCATTGGATATAGGCTTAACAAGGCTGACTTAGGGTTGTATATGATTACAAGAAATCAGAATTTCCTATCAACCTATGCGCATAACAAGGGTTTACAATGGTGAATAAGCTTGCCATGTGGAGCTTCTAGACCAATAGAGTACAACCTTGTAATTTTTCTAAGATAAGGTGTGAGGATTACTAAGTGATGATGGCTGGACATAATTCCCACTTAGGGCTCTTGGGCGTCGGCCATAGGAATAATTAGGCCCAAGATTTATGTTCAAGGGCTCTCCTATCTTATGAACTAACTCATGCCTTATTATTTTATGTACCCTCCAATTATTAACTAAGGAGTTTTATTCATTGTAATAAAATTAATCACATACGTTTAACTATTACTCGAATTCAGGAAATATACCTACATGTTCCTAATAGCATGCATGCACTAAAATAATTTCCCTACTCGAATTAATTCCACTCTAATTACATGTATAATCCGAGCTCCAGAGATGCTCTCATATTCCTAATAAAAATTATATAACTTCCTAAATTCGCGGGATGTTACACGAAGTCTGCCCATTTTCTTCCAGTGAAGGTGAGCTTCACTACAGAGCAATTGGCCAAGCTTTATGTTCGCGAGATCGTGAGGCTTCACGGGGTGCCCGAGAGTATCATTACTGATAGGGACCCGAAGTTCACATCTCGGTTCTGGGAGGCGCTGCAGGAGGCTTTCGGTACGCAGTTTAGATTGAGTACCGCCTATCAACCTCATACTGACGGACAGACTAAGAGGACCATCCAGACCTTCGAGGACATGTTGAGAGCTTGCACTTTGGAGCAGGTTTCAGCATGAGATAGGTACCTGCCATTGGTAGAATTTTCTTATAACAACAGTTTTCATGCTAGCCTGGGCATGGCACCCTACGAGGTGTTATATGATAGGAGGTGTCGGACTCCTACCTGCTGGTCTGAGGTTGGAGATAAGAAGTTGTTTGGCTTGGACTTTGTCCAAGATACCACCCTGCAGATTCAGATGATCCGTGAGAAACTGAAGCAGGCGCAGAATCGCCAGAAGAGTTACTATGATGTCGAGCATCGTCCACTGGAGTTCAGTGAGGGTGATCATGTGTTTGTGAGACTTTCACCTGTCACCGGTGTTGGTCGGGAACTCGGAGTAAGGAAGCTGAGCCCGCGGTTTATTGGGTCATACCAGATTCTTGGTAGAGTAGGACCTGTTGCCTATCAGCTTGCCTTGCCTCCGAACTTGGCCAACATCCACAACGTGTTTCACGTGTCTCAGCTTCGGAATTATATAGCAGATCCTTCGCATGTGGTGAAACCGGATGATGTGGAAGTTCGGGAGAACTTGAAAACTCCCGTCGGACCACTCAAGATTCTCGACCGTGGCGAGAAGAAGCTAAGGAGCAAGATCATTCCGATGGTCAAAGTGCAGTGGACCGGAAGAACCCCTGAGGAGTGTACTTGGGAGCGGGAGGACGAGCTTCTCGGACAGTACCCCGAGTTTCGGGATAGGTATGTTCCTGATTTCGAGGACAAAATCCTTAAAAAGGTGGGGTGAATGTAAGAACTCGCACCGTTAATTAAGGAAATTAATTAAATAAATAAGAGAATTAGGAAATAATTCCATAATTTACCCTAGTAATTATTATGAGGCTCTAATAATTATATTAAGTGAGTAATAATGCTGAAAGTCGTTTTTCTGACGAAAAGTGCAGATACCCGTTCTGCTACTCGGTATAAATGCGTACCGATGAAGTATCCCAGAATATTATAAAAAGTATGTATATGTAACTAGAATAATATATAGGACTTGTAAAACCAGTTTCAAGTTAAAAGAATGAGAACTGGTGCTAGAACTGATACTGGCTATGGAAAAGCGCGTACCGGAAAGGTGCTGCGAAAAATAAAATAAAAATATGAAAAATCTTAGAAAAATGAGTAGGTTCAGAATCCTAAGTTTGGGATTAAATTGCTGAGCGTAGCTATTAATGCTAATACTGGGTGTTTAAGCATTAAACCGCTATAAATAGGCATGATTGGCCCAAAACCCTAGGCCATACATTCAGAATACGTGACTTGGAGGCTGACCAGTTTCTCCTTACTCTATTCCATGGCTTCGTCACCCATTTTGTGAGCCTTGTGACCCCTTTTCTTCCTTGTCTCTTCACTTTCTCCTTGTAAACACTTGAGTGAGTTCCTTGTGAGGGTGAAGCTCAACTTTTGCTGAGTTGAGGGTTCTGTTTGGGAAGAGTTGAGGGCTGACTTGTTGGGTTGGGTGTTGTGGAGTCTTTGTTCTTGGTTGTGTGGCTCCAAGGAGCCATCTTTGGTGAGAAAGGAACCATTGTTGTATGCCATTTTCGTGCATCTTCTAAGTCAGAACCTTGGGGGTTGTTGGTGAGCTCCAAGAGCACTCCTTTCTCTGTTTTAAAGCTTGGGTAAGTTGTTCAACCTTTTATCATGAGTTTTAATTGTTAAAAGAGCTGTCTTGGCATGTTTAATGAGTTAAACAAGTAACCAACTGTTATTTGAACTTAAAAGAGGTTAAAAATGCATGCTTGGACGTTGGAATGGGTTAAAAACCCAACCTTTGGAAGGATATCTCGCGAAATGCAGAACTGCATTCTGTCGCAAAATATCCGGGTATGCATATCCGGATATTGATATCCGGATATGGGGATCTGAATATCCGGATATTGGCAGAGAGATATCCGGATATACCCCCGACAAATATCCGAATATTCTGGGTTTTCGTGAACAGTGAAGGTACTATTCATACAGAATGATATCTTTGGGTTTGTGGACCCATGATGGGTTATGTTGAACCTCTGTAATTATTAACTAAGTCAAAATCTAATTGATTGAGGGCTTGTGGCTTTGTGAGGAGCCTAAAGACGTAAAACGTAAGAGAAATGCGTTGTCTTTTTGAGTATGCTTATAGAGTATGAATATTGATATTATAATTGGTCTAAACAGATTGTGATCTTGCTGTTTGTAGACTTTGAGATTGTGTGAACTCTTGGCTTGGATAGCTAGCTTGCAAGGTAAGCTTTCGTGTCCTCGGTTTAGCCATTGTTGGTTCCACCATGTCCCATGGGGGTATGGTTATATGCATGATGTTGTTTTCATGATATATTGGTTTGTGAAATGCTATTGACCTGTTATATGCAAGTGCCTTTACGATATGCATGTAGTGTTCCACCTATACAGTAAGCCTGAGTATGTGGTACATACAATAGGGTGAGGTTGTGGGTGTGGTGCAAGTGGTGCTCCTTGTACTAACTGTAGGTAATAGACGTATTCCTGCATTTCTCTGGCCAGTAGAATAGTTGTGACACACATGGCATGAATATCTGTTGCACGACATAGTTTTGGAACTTATTATGTTAAATGTTTTTGAACTTTTATTGCACATGTAAGTGAGCTTGGGGTGGAAGATCCTTGAGGACCCCTTGCCTTACTGAGATTTCTTATTTAGAGATCTCACCCCACGTTTGGGGCCACTTATTTCAGGTTCAGGTAACCAGGGGGTTGATACCTCTAGTGGCAGGAGGCCAGAGCTTAGTTGATTAAGGATATCTGCTTATGCTGCTTATGTTGTTTTGCTGTTATACTTGAATGCTGGATCCTGTTACTGCTTTATGATTTTAGCTTCATTTTTGGATTACCATGTTGAGACTCTGTTGTTATGTTGCTATTTGGTGAGCATGGGGATTGTCCATGCCACGGTGACTTGGTTATGTCTTAGTCTGGATTCCAGATGTAATAATGTATCAGGATATTGTCCGGACTACGTGCGGTAGGTCCGTTACTTCGATACTCGCTTATATCTGTATATTGAGGTATTTCAGTTAGATGTCTAATTGCAATTTACATACAGGCGATGTTTTATGAAAATTGATTAAGTAATCAACTTGGCTAAGATTAATGACGTCATAATTAAAAAGAAAAAGATATTCCGCAATTTTAATTAAGCTTGGCTTAATACGATGACATGTTAACAAACCGGGTATACACGGGGTGTTACAATATGCACTTGGAAAACCATTTTTGGGAGAAAACTTGTAATCTTTACGAAAAGCATTGTAAATGTTGTACATGACTTATGATACATGTATAGTACTTTTGGTTTGTAATTCAAGGCATTTCATCATATATAAGGTATTTCATCATGGACTTTAGAGGACTTATATATTTTTGTATGGTGGTTCAATGGCTAAATTTAGAGATCCATTGATGGAAATTCCATGAGACATTTACGAATATTTAGATATACGTGAACTGCATGAGTGGTCAATTAGGTGGTAAAAAGAATCCTTTGAGGTGTCCAAGTGGTTCAAATCACAATAAAAAGTTGTCATCTCTTATGGTATAGTTCGCTTTAGCATGTTGCGAAGGCGCATAAGGGAGCCCTCTCCCTTGTTGTGTAGCATACTGAATGACGTTATTAGTGCGCTGCTGACATGCGCTGTCGAACCCACGCAAATTACCGAGCTTTAGGTTTGTAGTGATAGGGCAACTCGGATCGTCTCCCAAAGAATCTGCTAGAAATTTAAAACGCTCTGTAAAACAAAATATAAAAAGGAAGGGGTGATTTTGTTGATTTGAAATTTAAATAAATACAGAACTAAAATTGGGATTTAAAAATCAGAATTAAAACCAATTAACCTAAGGAATTAGGATTCATTAATTTATTTCGTCATTGGATAAAAATAAAATTATCAATTTGTGATTAACCCCAATTGAATTCGGAATCCTCAAATTCAATGGGAAATCCACTCTAGACTATTGCCTAGCGTTTGGCTGAATACAATATTTTAACTATGCAATCGCAGTAGTTTCAACCTATTCAACTTACGTTCATCGGGTTAATTAATCTAACCATTAAATCTAATGATCAATTTTTCCTTAAAGAATGCAATCGCATTATTCAGTTTGAATACCTACAATCGAATGATATTCAACTTGAATTGGGAAAAAATAAAATCGATTAAACAGTTGAAACATATCCTCTGGAATAAATTAACAAACATTCAATCCTTAGATTGATTAAAGGTGTTTAGCCTAGCATAGTAAGGTTAAACATCATTCAAAATAAAATAAAAAAGTAGAAGAAGATGAAAAGAAAAGAGTGCAGAATTTCGAATCTCAAAGAAAACTTCAAACAATCGTTTTAATCCAAAAATCTGATTGCCGAAGGGTTTCCTAAAGTTTCCCTTAAATAAACCACATTCAGAACGGGTTAATGTTCCACCACTTCGGCCCATACATAAAATAAAAACTTAATAAAATAAAATAAAACATTAAAACATGATCTTGGGCCCTAACCACATTGGGTTCTAATTTAATTTACATGTCAAAACGTCAAAATAAAATTCCAGCAAAAACATGTAATCTTGGGCTCAGGTTTCGACCATCTTCCCGTTCGAATTTGGCTTCAGTAGTAGAAATAATGATTGTAGCCCTTTCTGTTAGATGCAAAACACAACAAGAACAGAGTCAATCGAACATCTCTAATGTGAGATATGGCCAAAATACAAAAGTAGTGTAAATTTGAAAAATTCTAACGAAAATCAATTAAACACAATTAAAATCTAGAATTATGATTTGACCCAAAAGACCTTTATTTAACTCAAATAAATCCTGAAAATACTAAGCAAAAGTAATAAATAAGTGTAACAAAATATGTGTTATCAAATTCCCCGACACTTATCTTTTTGCACTCCTGGGCAAAAACTAAAACAGAAAGCAAAGACTAAGACCAACCAATCATTTCTAACAATTACCAAGCATACAGAAAATAAACAAAGATCACAAGTCTTCCACAGATAAACCAATCAGGACAGAAATTCCCTAATCTTAAATCACAAGACTTGCTAATTTCAACTACACATGCCAATTACAGAAAATGGTTCCTTACAGGATGCTATCAATATTTCTCTCTCAAGTGTATCAGGTAATCAGTGTATCACTCAAATCTACTCAAGAAAATCATTCTACCATATGTTTTCTCAAGTTCTACTTCTCCATTGCTACTAACACATGCATGCATAAATCAAGATGGCTTTATGCAGGATTGTAATGAGGTTGAGGTGGAGGTATGGATGAAATATGGAAAAGAAGGTTAAACACCCCAGAAATCTACAAGAGCAAAAGTTAAGAACTACACTAAGAAAATAAAACAAAGATAATGGAAAGATAGAAATAAACACTTTTTTTTGTTTTTGTTATTTTTTTTTGCTTTTTCTCGAATTTTTTTTTGTTTTTTCTCTATATTTTTTGTCAATATAGTCAAAACACATAGCAGATGGTCACCCCCTACACTTAAACTTTTGCATGTCTCAGGCAAACCCCCACACTTAAACACAACATCACAGTGAAACTAATGCTCAGTAGATCTCCAGGGTGTGGAATTAATTGGTTTTTTCACTTAGGCTTGTAATGTGGCTTAAGAAACAAATGATATAAAGACTCAAAGGGGATCACCATAGGATAATATTGTAGGGATGGCTATTTGGCTAAAGTGGGTAAAAATAAAATAAAATGAATGCCTCAATCATATTCATGCATGTAAATGAAAAAATGTAGTTTCAAAAAGAACATGAGCAAGTTCTAGAGAACAAAGATCAAGTGAAGAAACACACAAGAAAGAAAAAGAATGGCCAGAAGATGTATGCCATGTATACATGCTCAAAACCTCACAAGGTTTAACCAAATAATGTAATCAGCAACACAACATCAATCAACAAGTATTGCAATTTAAGAATCGAGATCAGAGGCCAACAGCTTATGCTATCAAACACTGTGATCTAAGTCTACTCCATGTACCAGTCAATAATTACCAGAAAGAAAAGGAAAATCTACATATTAAAATCAAAAACTAAAAGAAAGAAAAGAAAAGAAAATTCAAATAACATAAAGAAAAGAAAAAAGGGGAGAGAACTCCCTGAACTCCCTAAGGAGAATAAACAGCATCAAGCAGCCTAATTTCTGCTTCCACCTCTGTATCCTCAGGCTGATGTGGTTGATAAACCCTTGGTTTACCATGTTTTTATGCTAAATTCTACAAGAATTATATGGTAGATTGCATGGATTTAAATTGAGTTTACCATTTTGAAGGTAAATCCACAAGATTTGGTGCTAAGAAGTGATAAAGAAATCCTAACAAAGATTTGAAGCCCAATCTGCAGGATCTTAAATAAAAACATAAACAAATCAAGATTTGATTAGGAATTGATAGAGATTCATGTTGAGATTTGATGAAGAATTAAAAGATATGGCTTCAAATGTTATAAATAGGGAGCTTGGGGTCAATGGAACCAACCAATTCACAGACACACCAAGGAATTACACAGAGACCTGAAGGAGGAATCCTGTTGCGGAGCATTGGAGCACAGAGGAACCAAGTCAACATCACAACAATGGAGGTTAGGGTTCTCTTTTCTTTCTTATTGCTTTTCAATTCAGTATGCTAGGTTAAGCTTTTATGTAGTTAGGGTAGATTAAACCCAATTGAATCCTTATGTTTATTAATTAAATTGTCTCTGAATTCTTCTCTTTTTATATTTGAATAAATTTATCTATCTTTAATGTTTTCTATGAGTTTGCTCTTTATAGATTGATTTAGGGGAAATGTATGACAATAGGGATGTTGGTGCATGAACCCTGATTTAATAAATTTATCACAATCCTTGTGATCTAGGGATAGACATAGGGCATTGCTTCACAACCCAATATGCTTGATGCTCCAACTCTACCGGAAGATGACATGCTTTTCCACAAACAAGTCGGTAAGGGGACATCCCAATTGGAGTATTGTAGGCAATCTTGTACGCCCACAAAGCATCTTCAAGTCTCTTGCTCCAATCCTTCCCACTAGAATTAACTGTTTCTGAAAGATTGGCTTGACTTCTCTGTTTGAAACTTCAGCTTGGCCATTGGTCTGTGGATGGTATGCAGTGGCTACTTTATGAATTACACCATATTTCTTCATTAATCCAAACATGCTTCGGTTGCAGAAGTGAGAACCTTGATCACTAATAATAGCTCTAGGAATGTCAAACCTGCAGAAAATGTTAGATCTGACAAAATCTACATCAACAACAGAGTCATCAGTCCTGGTGGCTTTTGCCTCAACCCATTTAGATACATAATCAACAGCTATGAGAATGTATGTAAATCCAAAAGAAACAGGAAAGGGACCCATAAAGTCAATACCCCAAACATCAAAAATCTCACATAAGAGTATAGGGTGCCGGGGCATTTCATGCCTACGGGAAATACTACCTGCTTTCTGACAATTATTGCAAGACTTACAGAACTCATATGCATCACGAAACAGAGAAGGCCAAAACAAACCAGAATCTAAGACTTTCCTAGCAGTTCTTTGTGGTCCAAAGTGACCACCACAGGTAGATGCATGAGAAAATTCAAAATAGATTGGAATTAAATATCAGGCACACATCTCCTAACTAGTTAATCACTACAAAATCTCCACAAATAAGGATCATCCTACACATAATACTTAGACTCACATTTAAACTTTAGCATATGAGCCTTAGTGGAATCAGCAGGCAAGACACCAGCAACCAAGTAATTAACCATATCAGCAAACCAAGAAAACTTACCTTGCAGCTGTAAAAGATGCTCATCAAGAAATTCATCATGAATAGGGAGAGGATCAGGTGAAAGAGAAGTGATGTGGCTCAGGTGATTAGCTACCTGGTTTTTTGCTCCACTTCTAACCTTGATTTCAATGTCAAACTCTTGGAGCAGCAACATCAATCAGAAGATCCATATACACTAAAATCATCCATAAATACCTCCATACAGTCCTCAAAAAACTCTGAAAAGATGCTTACCATGCAACGTTGGAAAGTACCTAGTGCGTTGCAAAGGCTAAAGGGCATCCTCTCATATGCATATGTGCCAAAGGGACATGTGAAGGTAGTCTTCTCCTGATCCTCAGGTGCAATATGAATCTTTAAGTAACCAGAATATCCGTCCAAGAAACATTAATGAGATTTACCGGCTAACCGCTCAAGCATCTGACCAATAAATGGAAAAGGGTAGTGATCCTTGCGACTTGCTTAATTTAGACTACGGTAATCTATGCAGACTCTCCAACTGTTCTGAGCTCTTACCGGAACCAGTTCATTTTTCTGGTTCACCACTACAGTCACTCCAGACTTCTTGGGAACCACTTGAACCGGGTTGACCCACTGGCTATCTGAAATGGGATAAATGATGCCAACCTGTAAAAGCTTAGTGACTTCCTTCTTCACCACTTCTAGGATAAGCGGGTTCAGGCGCCTCTGTGGTTGCCTCACTGGTTTAGCACTTTCTTCAAGCAAAATGTGGTGCATGCACATGGAATGGCTGATTCCCACAATATATGCTAAAGTCCATCCAATTTCCTTTTTATTTTCTTTCAGCAATGTCAGAACCTTTTCCTCCTATTCAGGTAGAAGGTTCTTGGCCACTATCACATGTAACTGCTCATTTTCCTCCAGATATGCATACTTCAAATGGTCTGGCAGAACCTTTAGTTCCAACTTAGGTGGCTGCTTAGTGGATGGAAGAAGTCTAGTGGGTGCAAGTTCTGTAGAAAACATATTAACAGCTATGCCTGCAACCAAATCCTCATAAACATAATCATGATCATCAATAATATCAACAGGAAATTCAGAATTCAACATCAATGCAGAACCACTATGCAAAACAGAATCAAAGTCAAGCTCATCATCATGATCAGAGTTAGAAATAGAACCCAAATCATCATTCAATGCATCATTAAAATCAGAACAGCACAAGGCTAGCTCAGCACACATTGCAATAAAGAATAACCTTCGTGTGTGACCCATTAGGCCCAATTAGTTACTGACATAAATAAACTTGGACCAGTTAAACTCCTTTAAAAGGCCCAATCCATTTAATGACTACATGATACACTAACAATGCTCTGTAGCCCCAGAACTAATTGAGTTGATCAAGTGATCTACCTTTCTGATTTGGATACCGTGCCAGCATTATCCCTCACATCGTCATTCATATTTAGTCGAGAGCAAGGATAGAGTATCATCTCTCTTTATTGACTAAATATAATATTTCACGGGAACTAAGAATCTTCTTCTATTGACTCTAAGACAGATCATAACTCTTCATGATCTCTTACTATGCATAGATTCTCGAGTCAACTAGAAGTCATCCAAGCCCTACTGGTCTGTGTGAACGACTAATCCCTTATAGGGGATTGTGAGTCCTTTCGGCATGTCCATCTATACTCATGTATTCAAGTTATACCTAAGAGTACACTGTTCTCCCCGTTTTTAGGCGGATAGAGTTGTAGAGTCAAAGTATGACTCAAGGACATAGTATTCGATGACATCTTTAAGTCTAGGACGATTCGCACTATCAAACGATGAGAGACTTTACAAATCCAATGATACTCTCCATAATGAATCCTTGTGGAGTCTCTCGGCGGGTCAGTTCAGTGCTATCTGTTCCCCAACAGATCCACCTACGACATCAGCTAAGGCATCACCATGCCTCCATTCCATGAGGGCCCTACTTTGTATCTCTATACAAGTAGACGATGTCGTACTAGTCTTATTGAGATCACCAATACCCTTTCTTGGTGATTTAAGACCAGGAACAGATTTTAGGTAATAGACATTCAGTGTCCTCGAGTTCTCATGATCATGATCCCTATCGTAGATCCCCGAGTGAACACCTGTTCTATTCCTAGGGTCTTTATCTTTAAACGCATATTAACAATAAAGTATTGGCGAGACATAAAGTTTGCTCAAATTTATTAATCATGAAATACTAAATAGAAAAAAGTGTTCATCTGATAAAACAGATTGTCTCTAGGACACCTTATACTAACAATCTCCCACTTGGCCTAGTGTCAATCAGGTCGACGTGTCAAACCTAAAGACTCATAATGACTATCATGTTTTCTCTGAGAGAGACTCTTCGTTAGAGAATCAGCCAAATTATCAATAGTGAGGACGTAGTCCATCTTTATCTCCAATCTTTCAATAATCTCTCGGATGAGCTGATACTTGCGGAGCACATGCTTGGACCTTTGATGAGACCGGGGTTCCTTGCCCTGGGCTATTGCACCAGTGTTGTCACAATACAAAGGTATTGGATCAACAATGCTCGGAACCACTCCAAGTTCTGCAATGAACTTCTTGATACAGACTGCCCCCTTAGCCGCTTCTGAAGCCGCTTCTGAAGCCGCTATGTATTCTGCCTCAGCAGTAGAGTCTGTCGTGGTCTCTTGCTTGGAACTCTTCCAAGAAACTGCTCCACCTTTTAAGGTGTAGATAAAGCCTGACTGAGATTTACAGTTCTCTTTATCACTCTAGAAGCTAGCATCAGTGAACCCCTTTACTTTCAGCCTATTACTGCCACCATAAACTAGAAACAAATCCTTAGTCCTTCTCAATTACTTAAGGATTGTCTTAACGGCTGTCCAGTGACTTTATCCAGGGTCAGACTAGTATCGGTTCATAATGCTTAAAGTATAAGAGACGTCTGGTCTAGTAGATAACTTGGCGTACATGATGGATCCAATTGCTAATGCATATAGAATCATCTCCATGTGTTCCCTTTCGGCAGGTGTCTTAGGACACATAGCCTTAGAGAGACGAATGCCATGACCGACAAGAAGAATACCTTTTTTCGACCCATCAATGTTAAACCTCTTTAGCATATTGTCTATGTACGTGGATTGGGATAATCCCAGCAATCTCTTGGATCTATCTCTACAGATTTTAATACCTAGTATATAAGTTGCCTCTCCCATATTCTTCATGGTGAAGTTCTCAGACAACCAAACCTTTATGGACTGTAACATGGGAATGTCATTTCCAATGAGCAATATGTCATCCACATATAGCACAAGGAAAACAACAGCACTCCCACTAACCTTCTTGTAGTCACATGGTTCATCCTCATTTTGATAAAACCGTTATCCTTAAAGACTTCGTCAAAACGAAGATTCCAACTCCTTGAAGCTTGCTTAAGCCCATATATTGACTTTTGATGTTTGCATACCATATGCTCTTGGCTCTTGGATTCAAAACCTTCAGGTCGTGGCATATACACTTCCTCCTTCAAGAACCCATTCAAGAAGGCGATTTTGACATCAATTTGCCAAACTTCATAATCATAATATGCGGCTATCGCTGGCATGATCCTAATAGATTTGATCATGGCAACAGGGGAGAAGGTTTCCTCAAAGTCAATTCCTTGTCTTTGACGGTAACCCTTCGCAACCAACCTAGCTTTATAGGTTTGGATGTTGCCATCAGCATTAGTCTTCCTCTTGAAAATCCACTTGCACCCAATAGGAACTATTCCCTCAGGTGGTGGAACCAAGGTCCATACATTGTTCTGATGCATCGAATCTATTTCGAATTCCATGGCTTCTTGCCATTTTGAGGAGTCATCATCCTTGACTGCCTCATTGTAGGAAGGAGGCTCGTCATCCTCAACAGTCTACTAATTCTCAATCACAAAACCGTACCTCTCAGGTGGATGACTAACCCTAGTGCTTTTACGGGGCTGGGGGTCTACTGCCTCTAGTTGAGGCATCGCCTGATGAACAGACTCGGGTTCCCCTATTTGTTCTTGTAGGTCTTGAATTTCTTCAAGTTCTACCTTACTCCTGAAAGTAAAAAGAGGGCCTTGAAGGCCGTAGCATGTGAGAGGGGAAAAATAAAATTTTTCCGCAAGCGGAATACACATGCATATCAAGATACATACTTTAAGACGTATGTCATACCTTGTTCGTGAAAAACTCAAGACGATCAAAGGTAGGTCTGAAGGGTTCAGACCCTCTAACGTTGATCCACACCACCTGCGTCTAGATACAGGAACTCTTTCCAGTAAAGCCGCCAATTGATCACCACAAAGAGGCTTGCTATTCGCTCAATGTGTGATGAGAGGAGGCTATGTAAAAGTGTTTGGAAGAGTGAAGTTTTCTGAGAGAAAAACTCACAAAAGTGGCGTAGGAAATTAGGAGAGAATGGCTTGGTTGGTTTTCTAAAAACCCTAGAAGGAACATATATTCCCAAGGGTCCTGGCGAATTCTTAATTGGAATTCGAGTATATCTTTTAATTTTATTAATTATTTCGTTTATCCCATTCTGTATCCCATTATGATATTTTACATCATTGAATGGTCCTGTTTGAAAACAATTCGATGATGACAAAATTATCAAATAGCGGCATTCCATATTTCTATTGAACAACATACGAATTGTAACATCCCACAAAATTAGGATAAATACAAGGTACGATGAGAAATGTGGTTGCATGATTGGAATTCGAATTATATGTTAATATATGTGTTGTTAGTGGATTATATAGCTATTCTTTCCTAGAGTGGAATTAATTTAAGAAGGGAATTAATTGATTCGTCATGATAAGAGAGGAATTATTTCTAGGCATGTGAAACTTTAATTAAAAGACTTGGGAGTTTATATTTTATTGGTAAGTACATAAATTAGCAACATTTTGGGCTTGTACATTTTTGACTCCCAATCCTTGGTTGGCCGAAGCCTTAGAGCTTTTAGAAGTGCCTTGATTCAGCCCAATATTGTATACACCTTTATCTCATCCTAAGAACCTTACCTTGGCAACCATTGATTGGATAGTAATCACCACATGGCAAGAGCCCCATCCTTGTTTTCTCTCTCTGCATGTGCGCTTAGGATGGGTAGGAAATTCGAGGTTTTTCTTGCTACCTTATCCAAAACCGAATCAGCCTATGCATGTGTAGTATGTGTCACACAAATCTCCTCTATCCTCTTGCATGCGCGACACCTAAGCTAAGGAAATACATGAACCTTTCTTGATATGTCACGGCTCAAAAGGTTGCTCTTGAACAAGAAATCAAATTCTCCACACACTCCATTCTATCCCATCTTCCCTCTATACATGTCCTCCACCCTACACACAAAGGGGGACATTTGGACATTTAATTCCTTGCTCCATGATTCGGTCAGGCTTCAAGCTGTTTAGCTTGCATGTTCTCTTCATTCTCTCCTCCAATCCGTGAAGCTACATAGGGAGACACCCAAACTTCTAAAATCTTGTTCTCATTCTCTTTTCCTGCTCGACCGCGTGACAACAAGCAGGGAGATGCGGACCATAAGTTTCCATTCCTTACTCTCATTCACCGTTCAACCGTAGATCAACCTTAGAGAGGTAAGGTATTTTCGTGATACTCATTGGCCATTCTTGCTCTATTCGTTTTGATGGAGGTCCCCTGCATGCAGATGGAAATTGAACCCTCTCCATTACTCTCTGCCCCTTTATGTTCGGCCGAGAACCTCACTCAAGGAGGTGATGGATT